TTGCTGTGCCCGCCACCAGGGACTCCCTTCCCTCTGAATGTCCGCTCCTCAGTCAGGTCTTCCCTGACCATTCTTTTTTGGTTTTTTTAAAATATATTTTTATTGATTTCAGAGAGGAAGGGAAAGAGAGATAGAAACATCAATGATGAGAGAGAATCATTGATTGGCTGCCTCCTGCATGCCCCCTACTGAGGATCAAGCCCACAACCCCGGCACGTTCCCTTGACCGGAATCGAACCCGGGACCCTTCAGTCCGCAGGCCGATGCTCTATCCACTGAGCCAAACCAGCTAGGGCTCCTTGACCATTCTACTAAAAATGGCCGCGGCCCAGCATTCCCTGTCTCCCTTTCCTGCCTTATCTTTTCATAGCGCTATCATCTGACACTATCCATTTCTTTTGTTTATTGCATGTCTCTCCCTCACGGCACCTCGTTCCCTGCGTCTGGGACACAGCAGACTCATCCCACAGCTGGGTGACTGGAATGGAATGAGGGGAGAAAGAGTGAATCTTAATTCACAAGCCAGGCATGACCTCTCTGAGGACGTGACCTTTGGGCTGAGCGGAAAAGGAGGTGAGGGAGGAAGCTATGAGAAAGCTGGGCGGGCTTCCAGGCGGAGGGAGCGGCAGTGCAAAGGCACGGAGGCCGCTGGACTCGGCTTGCTGGTTGGAGGGAGTCTGGAGAGGAGGAAGTGAGGCAGGGAGTGGTCAGCAGGGGCCTGGGCCTGTGGGGCCCCACGGGCTGTGGTGAGGACTTTGTTACCCCGAGTGAGATGGGAGCCATGGTGATGGGGGGTGTGAGTGGGAGCAGGGAGCCCCTTAAGGAGGTGAGTGCGGTGGTCTGGGTGGGAGGTGGGGCAGCTGGGCCAGGGTGGGGGCTATGGGATGACAGGTGGTTGGATTCAGCTGATGCCGTGAGGGTACAGCCCATAGGACTTACAGAAAATGGATACAGGTGTGAGAGACAGAGAGGGGTCAAGGTGCAGGGCAAGGAACCACCCGAAGGGTAGAGGTACCCCAGGTTATCCATAGTAACACTGCTAAGAACAGTGGCAGGACTCAGGGATTAGGCACCTAGTGTGTGCCTGGCTCTGTGCTACTTACATGCACAAACCCATTCTGCTCGCTCACTGGCCCCATTTTACAGATGAGGCTGAGGACAAGTAGAGGCAGAAATGCCCCCCTCCAGCCCTCAGGCCCACACCCCCTGATTGTGGTGGGGTGGTTCCTTCTCTCTGGCCTTGGCCTTCGTACGTAATGTGGTTCCAGCCCTTCTGCCCTTCCTCCACCCCACCCCACACAGCAATCCCTCCAGACAATTGGGATGGGAAGTGGAGGGGGACTCCTAAGGCCTGGGAGAGGCCTTCAGTCCCCAATCTGGAAGTGATGGTGGCAACTGGGACCGTTTTTTCTTCTCCAGCAGAATCAGGCTCCAACAGCCCTGACTGGTTCGGCTCAGTGGATAGAGCGTTGGCCTGTGGACTCAAGGGTCCCAGGTTCGATTCCGGTCACGGGCACCAAAAAAAAGAATCAGGCTCCAACAAAAAACAGCAAATGTTTGTTGAATGAGTGAGTGATTGGTTGAGGTTTGGACGTGAGGAGAGGGCACATCTAGGAGTAATGAGGGGGGCAAATCTGCGAGTAACTACTTTGGGGGACAGAGAAATTGAGGTGTTTGGGTAGGAGAGGAGGAAACACAGGGCCAGGAGTTGGGGAACTGGAGGGTTTGGGGAGGGAGAGCCTGGGGGCAGGGAAGCGCACCGGTCTGTGATGGGACAGACCCCCGCGCTCCCCATCCCAGGGGACAGGCCCGGTGTTTTGGGGGGAACAGCCAGTGGCTGAGCCCTCCCCACACGCCCG